AAAGTTGTAATAAATCTTATATTTTTCAATAAATTATGTATTTATGTACCCTGGTATACTCGTCAATTCCCTTGCATTCAAATTTAGAAAACACAGATATTTCAGAATACCATTACCATATACACCTTAGTATTAAAATAAACAATAACAAATAAATTAATATCTAGTAAGCTATAGCAAACAATAAAAATATACATTACTCTATTTACTTAACATATTAGGTACATGAATTAAGCTCATATCAGATATCATTAATTGAATTGATTTAATCGATACAAAATGCACATTTGACACATGGACAAATAGCATTCCAAGTCAAAGCCAACCTTGATTGGTATTTCTAGCCCATTTAGTAGGCGCTGAGTCGAATACTGGTAGCTATAGCTATAGCTATAGTGAGTAATTTGCATTATTGTTTTTGAACTATTTAATTTTTTTCGGTTCTTTAATGGTATTGACCAGTCGATAGTCGTGTGTCGTAACAACGTAACGATAATGGCGCATGTCTTAATTAATCAATTGTCATTGCTAATTTATTCAATTGTTTCTTGGATTTAATTGAATACGCTGCTTGAAAAAACTCTTATTCATCTTATTTTTAGATCTTTTTAGAATCTTTGAACTATAACTTTTAGATTTGTGATTTTAAATGTCGAATATTAAACCATGAAAAGTAATATATTACTTATCTTTGTTTGAGTTGCATATTACAAACAATATCCAGTTGCTTTTTACATATGACACATTAAATTATAAACCGGACTAATTTGTGGCTGTAAGGCAATACGCAGTATACATAGGTGTTTTTTTTTCTGTTCAAGACAACAATTGTTAAGCATATTAAGCAATTCTTGCAATTGTTTTGTTCATTTTATTATCAAAATGTCCTTAAAGGACACTTGGTTGTAAGTGGTATTTATTGTTATTTTATAGGGAAATTATACAAATGGTTATATAATGGTTCAACGTTTATGTGTGATATTTTGTTAAACCACAGTAGCTAGCAAAAATATTATATATAAATTTACGAATAAATTTATTATTTCTATTAATGTTGTAGTAAACACATAATCCTTTATAGCAATTACACCTACTCACCATATTTTATTTGTCAGAATACACAGATATGCTTTTAAATATCTAATAAATATTTCCTTTTACAAATACATTAAAACATTTTGCAATACAGATTTTATTCAATGTTTTTATGATGTAATTAAAAATATGTGACCTCCAAAAAAAACAGCTTATATCCGTTAATAAATCTATTTATAAAACAACCAAAAACTTTTGTCCTACACAATCACTGTTGCATTACAGCGGGCCATGTTTCCAAGGCGTCTAGATAATTTCGAGTAATTTTATGCATTCGATTAAATTCAATGAGCGCATCTAATAATTATTATAATAAAGACACAGACGTTATCTTCAAAAACAATTATTGACTTGCATTAAAAACGTTAGACGCGATCATATAAAAATTTGTAGGGCCTAATCTAAAATTTGTTAATATTTTGAATAAATTAATATTTCCTCTAAGGTGGTACACTGTGTATAGCACTAGAAAGTTGGTAGTACTATATCTATCGTATCGGTTGTTAATATACTTTTTATCGACTGCCCGAGCATAACATATTTCACTTTGTTTTTTAATTCGTGATACAATAGTGACCTATATATTAAGTCTTTGAAATGAAATTAAATAAAATTGGTGAAATCATGCAGAAAGTATAGTGGTTTTAAAAAATGTTATCATTAAATCTGAAGCTAATTAATTTGAAAGTACATTTGTTTTGATTTTATTACACGATATAATAGTGATTTTAACAATGCTTGCTATTGGAAAAGTGCTAATTAAAAACTGATTTTAAAATCCTGTAAAACAAAACTTTTACCATACTTATTTTTATGCAAATCACAGTCAAAAAAGTCTCACTTTATATGCAACTGTGTCGAAAATCGGGGTCAAAAGTGAATTCACAATTTGTCTGTGCCTCACGCACAATCCTGAGAATAATTTACGATTAGTGTTTAGGTAGTATCTTGAAGAAAAGTTTTTCTACGAAAAACAAACATTATCTAAATGAGGTGTGTTTTATGACTTTAATTTCTTAAAATAATAATTTTAGAGATTCGACTTTGACTTTTTTAAGGAAAACGTAACTTCCTATGAAAAAAAATTACCTAAAACAGCAATTTATCTTTAAAAAATATTTAACAATTTATGTTATTTGATGTAAAGTTGTTATGTTCTATGGTCCATGTGTCCAATTAATATATAAAATGTCCAATTACTATACTTTTTTGCATGTTTTTATAAATCTAATATTAAAAATTCAAATATTCTTATTTTTAAGTAAACGTAAATAAAGTTTAAACAAAGAAACTATCCTTTTTATATATTTATAAGAAAAAAACTAAAATCTTTAAAACAACAGCATATATAAATTTTAAATAAATAAAATAATATTTATAATATTTCTTCTTTATAAAAATAAATATTGCCATTGACATTTAACACAAGGTTGCTTTAGTCATATTGCGGATGCAAAAAATGAAATGTATTAAAAAGGAAAACGCAAAATAAATAAATAAAATTTCCTACAGAGCGCTAAATTTTCAAAGGCCAACGCATTTAATAATACCATACAAGTCCAAGAGAATGGTTTGTTTACACGTTTTTATACATGTTTGGTTAGTCTGTGAGTAATAACAATTATTTATAGGTTGGAATATTTAATTAAAATTATTTTTACTTTGTTTATAAATTTTAGTTGTACTAATATGGTTATCATCCCGAAATGACTTAAACACTATAAGAACTGCCTAAAATGCATTACTATTTTCTCTGACTGTACATATTTAATTTTAAAGATGGTATCAAAATGACTAAAAACTAAATTCCGAGATTTATAAAATCTTCTTTGACCTTAACGTAAACAAAACAAAGAAAGTATGGAACTTTATTCTAAATATCTGCCGTGTAGGTAAGTATATAAAATTAGTTCAAGCAGGTTCATTTATTATTTATAAGCACGGGCAAATAGAAATTGTACATAATATTACCTAAATAAAATATCACTTTCGACAAGCGTGGACAAGTCGTTAAAAATAATACACTTTCTCGTGAAATGCATTAAAAAAATATATTGAACGAACTAGATTTTTGCTATTAATTAGATTTATAGCCATAAGTATTAATTAATTGGGTTTATTTTATAGGCCAAATTATAAAAAATTTAATTTTATAATAATTTATTATTATTTAATTATTTAAAAAAATTGCTTACAATCATTTAAAACTAAAAGTCAAAATTTGTGTAAAATTATAAAAAAAGTTTCTTTGATTTTAAGAACTCTTATAAATCTATTTATAATTTCTTACATAAAACAAATACTTATAGTCGACATAGAAAAGTAACAAGTGAAGTCTAAGACAATCACTATTATTGTATAATATAGGAAATAAATTTATTATTATTATACATACTTATGTAACGCATTTGTTACCTAAAGTTAAAATCGACATTGACTTTTTTAAATCTATTCAATTCAATGCATTTCCCACACTAGGTTTGTAATATAACAAAAGACTAAAGTTGTCAACGGTTCAACTGTTATTTAGGGTAACTTTTTATATTGGGAAAGTGTAAAATAATTATTAATCAGTTTTTAATAGAATTTAATTTATTTTGTTTTATTAATTTAATTACCTATGTTAAATGCAGTTAACTAATATTGCGACTTTCCATTAAAAAAATAAAAATTACTACTTTCGCCTTTTTTACTAAGTTGGATTTGGTTATGATTTTTAGTATATACTATTTATGTATATATACATAAATAGTATATATATATATTAAAGAAGTAATGTGCTATTTTATCTATTTTGTAAAAATTATATAAAAAAAATTAATTTTATACCTTAAATTTAATTTGGTCGAATTTTACTTTAGATAATTGGTATCACAGTCATTGGTTTGACAGTTAAACAAAATCGATTCGCAATGCCGTCCTTAATTTACAATTTCCAAGCGGCTGTTAATGTTAAAGAAGAAAAAAAGGATTTTCTTTGGTCTCAAACAAAATGTATTGCCAGAAAAGTCTCGTAAGTACTAGAAAAATCATAAAAATATTTTAACCAATATTCAAAATATTATGCTGTTTAAAGTATAGCCAACCTATAAAATCAAAATTTTGGGTGGGATAAAGTATCTCATTAAAGCACCAAAAGCGGTGTTATAATGAAGTCATTATGAACGCAATACTATTTTTTATAAAACTTTTATTTTTTTTTTTTTGAAATTTACTTAACACAAAAAGACGTTATAATTTTTTTAAACTTTTTTTAATTAGGTATAGCTTGAAAAAAACAATTTTAGAGAAAATAGTGTTAAATGATAAATTGCATAAAAAATTTATATTTATTAATATATCCTATTAGATACATAAATAGTGTTATATTTTTGTCAAACAAAATATTAAACTAAACCTACCAAATATCAAAAATTTAACACTGCCAGATTAAAGGGGCCGATAATAAGTATACATTAACGCTATTTTTAGAAAATAAAACATAAACTGACAGATACATAACCTCAATTATGGAGTTTATCTTTTAAATGTCAAAACAGACCCAATATTGGGTGTGGAGGATAGAACCTACTTACAGATATGGGTAACACTATTTAATACAATTATGTAAGTACCTTTAATTTTATAAAAACACTAAAAAAATAAAATAAGTTTTTGGTAATACGACCTTGAAAATATAAGCAATTTAATTTTTAAATGCACCTAACTTCTGTCATATTCATAAATAAATCAAATTACATAAATAAATATTGTCATAATTCGCTATGCCAATGTTAAATAAGCATAATAATCGTGACGAACGCGAAATAAAAACAAAACACCGAATGACTAACCATCAAAAATTCCCAAACATCGATCGGCCGCCTAAAATCGTAGCTAAAAGTTTTGTCTAAAACACAACTTACCGATTGCACGGAAAATGCCGGGCTTATAATCCAAGATGGTGCGGCACTTTTGCTATTCAAGTTATTTATTTCGGCTGCGTTATCACTTGGAAAAACACGTGTTTCAGTGGGACGCAGAAACGCGGTGAAAAGACGCGGTGTTTTCAACGCGAAACACTGTGAGAAACTAATTTCGTGTGTGACTCAGGCTATCGAGTTGGCTGGCGGGTGGTAGCGGTGTTGCCGGCTTGTGCTCGATGTGGCAGATACTGAAGTTTTTTGTTAATTTTCAGATTTTATGCTTTTAATTTTTAAAATTAGGTAATTTGCAAGACACAAAGTTATAGAAAATATGGAATTATAATTATTAACCAGAAGTTTTCAGAATTTAATGTCAAAATCACAAGGGATGTTAATTTATTTTGTTAATTTTGAGAAATATGGTTTTAAGTTTAAAAAATTGAGTAATTTACAATTCACAAAGTAATAGAAAATTATAAAAAATAAGGTATTACAATTATTTAAGGTTTTTTACAAAAAAATAAACAAGAAACATTAATCAACTATTAGAGAAAAATTAAAAATTGCAAAAAATTATAAAGATATACAAAAAAAACAATAATAAAATTTAACAAATATCGACGTTAAGAAACTATTTAATACTTTTGTTTTTTTGTGTTGATATAATAAAATAATTTTCACAGTTGGTATCATTTTACAAGAAAGGCTTTTTTATTTTTACGATTGTATGACATTTGACAACTGTCAACTAACTTAAAACTATCTTCAGCTTGTGACTAAAAACTTTTTGCTAACTTCAGCCCGTGACTAAAGCCACAACTTGTCAATGTGTATTTAAAAGGTCACTTAGTGTCATAGACACATGTACGATAATGGACGGTTTCAAGAAAAAAAAATTACAATAATTTAAAAGTAAAAAAAAAAAATTTAAAGGATAAAAATGTTTGGAGAAATATAGTATTTAATAAAAATAAATATTATGAAGAGTTACTGGAATGGTTAAAAAGAGCAATGTGAAATATAAAAAAATAAGAAAATTAAAATGGTTTGGAGGGTACCAGTACAGAACTGTTTTGTTAAACTATTTTACCTTGAAATATACAATTAAATAAATAAAAAATAAAGAAATATGTTGTAAAAACCGAAAAAACTACAAACACAGAAAAATCTTCAAAAAAATAACATTTTTAAAATAAAAACATTTATCTATAGAAAATATTTAAAAAAGATGAGAAGAAAAATGTAAAATGTGAACAAAAATAATAAAGTTTTTAAAACAATTTAACGACATATTAAGAAGACACATGTAAAAAATACAATAGAAATAATTTTAAAAAATTAAGGAACATTTTCTTGTTAAGAAATATTTTTAAGATTGGTTCTTAATTTTTTAAATGTTTTCTGTTTCAGAATTTAAACTTGTTGAAACTTGCCAATTTTAACGAGGATTTCTTTGGGCTAAAGAACAATATATCTGGTTTTTATGCCAGGTAGATACAGTATGAATCTCGTAAGATGTTAATGCATACTTTATATTTATATTAATATATTTATTAGAACAGATTCAATACCTAATAATTTAATAATAATTGGTTACAAAATATTATACAAAGTGTTTTGAAGAGTGGCCATTTAAAATGAGAAATTGCCATAAATTTTACATTTTATCTTAAGATCAAAATCAATAAATACCTAATTAAAATCAACTAGTTAATTAAATTATTAAACAAAATGCATAAACAAACAGTTAAAACAGTTTATCTGAATTTTATAGTTTTGCGAAAGCTGACAGCTGTCCAGTTTGCATCTTTTGTCAACGCCAGACAGATGGGGTGAAAACGTTCAATAGCCAGTTTCTACTCCTTTGCATAAATTTTTTTAAATCAAGTTTTTATTGCGTTGAATATGGAGCGACGTTTTAGAATAAAATAACCAAGTAGATTAAGGAATTTTTTTTTTAGAGTAGACTGTGCCCAAGTCAAAATATATACAAAACAAAACACTATCGTGAGAACATCGATTTCTTTCTGTATGTTTTTTTCTTCGTATATTTTACGGTGTTAACGTTATAAAGACAAAAGAGGGCCCAGACTCGGCGTCTGGATTTTGAATGGTTAATGTAATGTATTATCGGCCTTCTAGACCTTTAATGTGTGGGTAAATAAAATCATAATCGTCCGACTACCTGCTCTCGCCCGGTATAACTTTCTTATTGCTGGAGAAGCACCGTTGCCAGATGTACTTTTTTGTATTGTACTTTTTTACAAATCAAATGATTTATATATTTTTCTAATTAATTTATCTAATTTCAATAATTTGTCTTTGAATTAAAGACAATTTTCAAGCTTGACAATTAAAGTTTACAAACTTATTTATTTTTAAACAATTTCTAAACTGGTGGTTTTCTTATTGGTGTGGACCTGATCAGACGAAATAAAGGGTCCGTATTTAATGATAAGCTACAAAAAGAATAAAGATTATACCCATTGTATTATGTATTTCTGGTTTTAAGTCTACCTGCACCGTGTATAATATAGTACCTACCTACATAATTGGTATTTATTTTTAACGCTTGCTTATTTGTAGTAAATGTGTTGGACACTTTAGATTATAATAAAATTAGTATATTTTTTGTTTATTATAAATGACTGTCAAATTAGATAGATTATGTTTAAATCAAGTATACTTACCTAGCTCCTCTAGATAATTCACAATTACAAAAAAGGTACCTTACCGTAGATAATAAAATTGTACCGGAAATCCTAGTAATTTTTAATGGTTTCAGATATGACAAATATCGGAAACAATTTGTACACTATAACGTTATTTTTTACATTCAAAAATTGAACACTCCTAACATTTAAAAAAACTAGAAAATAAAATGTAATAACTTTACTAACAATTCAAAAAAAATAATATTTTTGTTAGTTCTTCAAAATGTTAATTTCATTTAACATACAAATGTGTAGTTAATTAAAGAATATATTTTGTATATTAGTCAATTATAATACATATAACTTTTAATTAGGTACTTTAAAATAATGATGGGACATTGATTGTAGTATATTAAAATTTCAACTGTAAAATTTGGTTAAAAAATACATCTTGTTAAAAATATGAATGCTCATATAATATTATAACTGTTATATTTGGTAATAAAAATAGTTAAAACATTTTTGTATTTAATTTTAAAAAAATACTTACCTGTTTATTGCAGTTTGGTTGTACTATAAGTCCTAAATAAATAATATCAACAACTTATTGAGAAACTTGTATTAAAATTTTTGCATATTTTATAAAAATCGGTGAAAAACAAAATACAAAAATATACTTAATAAATAATGTAAACAACTTAATAATTATTATAAAACACTAGTAATACTCATTGAGGTAATTAACAGGGTTGATTTTCTTTGGCTTTCATTTCCTCCATTTTCTCATACAAATCGGATCTGTCAAGCAGTTTTTCCAATTCGTTTTCAGAAAAGTCGACACCTTTTTTGGATTCTTCCTCCTCTTTTTCCAGAAGATTTTTCAGCTCCAACAGGTCGTTTTCTTGCTTATTTTTGTCAGTTTTGTCCATTGTGGAAAATTTACCTAAAATGAGTTTGTAAAATAACTGAAAATATATATAAACACTGAAACGTAATTTTATAATATTAAAAATAAGCCTATGGCGTTGGTAAATAAAATAAATATTAGAAAACATTAAAAATATACTTTTTCCAATAGTTGAGATAATAAAATAATATTCAATTTAAAAAACCTTACAACTCAATTTTTTATACTAACTCGTTAATGCGGCCTTTTTGGAATCCCCTGTATATAAAATAATAAAAAAGGTAAATCTACACATTACAAATCTTGCCCATTAAAAAAATTATTCAAAATACATATTTGACTAAATAAAACCTAAAAATAAGATGAACAATCGTGAAATAAATGATAAAAAACATTTAGAAAAAAGTAAGAAACTATAATATGACACTAAAAAATTGTAAAATTATACAGGGTGGCCGGGAAATTCATGTAAAACGAAAAAAAATCTTAAATTATAAAAAATTTCTTTTGAAGCAACTTTGGATATGAAATAATTAAAATTCACATATTAAAAATAGAGTAAAACGTGGAAAAAAGAAGAAAATAATGGTGAATTTATAAATAAATTGATAAAAAAACAAACTAAAAACATTTTAAAAGTAGGAAAAAATTATAAAATGTATCTATGTATGACCAAAAAACTCTAAAATTATACAGGGCTGGATAATTTGTAAAAATGAAAGATTTCTCTTAAATTGAATTTTTATTGACAAATCATTTTCTAAAATCAATTTAAAAGTTTAAAATTCGTTTTTGTGAATAAATTTTAATCATTTTACAAAATACGATTATTATATTTTATAAAATACCTAGTTGAATATTCTCACAAAAATTCTCAAAAACCATTGTCCATAAAACGTAAAATAACAAGAAAAAATATTGGAGAATTTATAAATAAATTGATTAAAAAAATTTTAAAAGTAATAAAAAATCATAAAATTTATTTATGACAAAAAAAAAATTGTAAAACTATACAGGGTGGCCGAAAAAGTTGTGATGAACGAAATAAATCTCTTAAATTATTTAAAAAATGCCTTAAGAGCCCCCTAGCGGCTAAACTAGGTAACTTTGGATATAAAATAATAAAAAATAGTAAATCCACCTATTAAAAGTTTTAAGGATTAAAAAATCATAAATAAAACGTAAAATATAAAGAAAAAATAATGATATTACAAATAAAATGATTAAAAAACAAATTTTCCACATTTAGTAAGTAGTAGAGCCCTCTAGCGCCTAAACTAGGCAACTTTGGATATAAACTATATATCAAAGATATTAAGCATTAAAAACCACATTAAACTAAATAAAAAAAATTAAATGATTAAAAAACAAACTAAAAATGTTTGGAAGGTAGTAAAATTCTATATTAACTCTTTAAAATTATACGGGGTGACCGTTTGCAAGTATCTAGTGCAATAAAAACTAAAAACACAATTTTTTCTTACCATCTTTTATGACTAATCTTTCCAATCTCCTCTTCAAATGGCCCACGTCAATAATTTGTTCGTCTATGGTATTTCTTAGCACCAGAGTGTAGACGCAAACCGGCTTCGTCTGGCCAATCCTGTGGCATCGATCTTGGGCCTGTATATCGGCTTGAGGGTTCTAATAAAAGCGCAGAATTTTTTTTTTGCTTAAATTTGCAAAATTTGTTGAAAAATAACTACCTAAATGATGGCTCGGGAAGTTCGGGAAGGTGACTGGATTATGGAAAAAGTACTTACCCAATCCCTGTCGAAGAATATGACGGTATCGGCGGAGGTGAGATTCAATCCGAGGCCTCCAGCTCTGGTGGATATCAAAAAAATGAAAATATTCGGATCGTTGTTGAATTCGTCGATGCACTCCCCCCTTTGCTCCAAGCTGTAGCTGCCGTCCAATCGTCTATACTTGATTTTCTTCATTATCAACATTTCCTCGATCAAGTCCATCATCATGCACAGCGTGCTGAAAAGCAGCACTTTGTGCCCGTCGCGTTTCAGTTTCTTCAGCATTTTCTCCAGCACGATCATTTTCCCGCTGGTTTTGATCAACTCGTCGCTGATGAGCAGCTGTTTCTTCTCGCTTTCTGGATCCAACGGGAAGTTGACTAAATACGGGTGATCGACGATTTTTTTGAACATGATCATGGGGTTGCACATCGTGAGTCTCGTCACTAAATCCTTCTTCTCTTTTTTATCCATCCTGTTTAAGAGTACGTCGGCCGTTTCGAGAATTTCGTCCTCATAATCGGAAAAATCGTCCTCGTTTATGTTTTCGTAGTAGTTGTACTTGCGATTCTCAGCGCATTTCCTCTTCTTTCTCGGGGCGTAAATGTCCAACTCCTCCTCTTCTTCTTCCCTGCGCAGCTTCTGGATATTCCCGTCGATGACCCACTTGTACAAATCTTTCTGTAGCTTGGTCATGGGGCAAGATATGACGACCTCTTTTTTGGGCACCATGTCCTTTAGGACGTCGGATTTCAACCTTCGCAACATGAACGGCCCGAGCACCTTGTGTATGGTGGATATGATGCTGTGATTTTCCTCGTTTTCGATGACCTTGTCTTTGTCTTGGAACTCTTCGATCAGGAAGAGCGAGGCGAAAGTGTCCATGTTGTTGAAGATGTGCGGAAGGAGGAAGTTGAGCAGCGCCCACAGCTCGGATATGTTGTTTTGGAGGGGTGTACCGGTTAAAAGGAGGCGATTGGAGGAGTTTAAGTTGCGCAGAGTGCTGAAATTTTGTTGAAAAATTGCCATGTAATTTTGTGTTCAGTTAATTCGTTTCATACACTTCTCTAGACACTCGTTTATTATACACACGCCTCGCAAGCTTCTTTCCTGTCTAATTTAAACTCGTGACTAAAATTCCGTTTATAAAACTTTAGTATATAATTTTAGTATCGTGAAAATTTTTAAGATTCATAACTGATTTTAGCATTCTAAAATGAATTTAGACATTCTATATTGTGTTTTTGACATTTTTAAATGCATTTAAAATGGTGGGATTTTTAAATAAGTTAAATATTCCTATGATTTTGAAATTCTATAGTATTTCTTATGATTTTAACATTATACAATAATTATACATACAATTTTAAAATGTTTTTGAGGTACTTACTGAATGCACAGGCTAAAGTTGGAAAAAAGTGAGGTTAAAACCGTTTGACAGATGTCAGATTAGAAAAGTGAGGTTAAAACCGCTTGTTTGACATCCCAAAGTAATTTTGACATTTGATAGGTATTCTTAAATGTGGTTTGACATTATAAAGTTTTTAACATTTTCAAGCTTGACTTTTTTGATAGTTAAATGTGGTTTTGACATTTAAAATGTTTTTGAGGTACTAAATGCACAGGCTAAAGTTGACTTTGGGTTAAAATTGGTAAAAGTGAGGTTAAAACCGTTTGACAGATGTCTGATAAGAAAAGTGAGGTTAAAACCGCTGGGTTTGACATTTGATAGATATTCTTAAATGCGGTTTGACATTATAAAGTTTTTAACATTTTCAAGCTTGACTTTTTTGACAGTTAAATGTGATTTTGACATTTTGAATGTTTTTAAGTTACTTAATACACGGGCTGAAGTTGGCGTTGGATTAAAATTGGAAAAAAGTGAGGTTAAAACCGTTTGACAGATGTCAGATTAGAAAAGTGAGGTTAAAACCGCTTGTTTGACATCCTTAAGTAATTTTGACATTTGATAGGTATTCTTAAATGCGGTTTGACATTATAAAGTTTTTAACATTCTCAAGGTTGACTTTTTTGACAGTTAAATGTGGTTTTGACATTTAAAATGTTTTTGAGTTACTTAATGCACGGGCTTGGGTTAAAATTGGAAAAAAGTGAGGTTAAACCGTTTGACAGATGTCAGATTGGAAAAGTGAGGTTAAAACCGCTTGAAAGTATGGTATGCAATTTATTTTATAAACTTTTTAAAAAGACTACTGTTTAAAATTAATTAATTAATCTTTTTAAATATACCTATTTCATTTAAGATTCTAAAATAACCTTAAAATTTTAAGTTTGACTTCTCAAAGTAATTTTGACATTTTATAGGTATTCTTAAATGTGGTTGGGCATTATAAAGTTTTTAACATTTTCAAGCTTGACTTTTTTGACAGTTAAATGTGGTTTTGACATTTAAAATGTTTTTGAGTTACTTAATGCACGGGCTTTGGATTAAAATTGAAAAAAAGTGAGATTAAAACCGCTTAAAGCTACGATGACGCTTAAAAAAATTGTTACATGATATTTTTTTATCAATATGGTCAATTAAAAAAACAATAGAAAATTATAAAATAAAAAAACGCGAAAATCCAAAATTTGTCAATTTTTTTTAAATCACAAATCAATTTACAAAAACATGACCATGATAAAAGTTATAAAACCATAATTAAAATGAAAAAAAAAAAAAACAAAACTACTTACATTGACAACTTGGACTTGTGATTCTTGATCCTGTGCCCCTCGTCAACAATAACATACTGCCAGGTAAACCTCCCCAAAAAGTGGCTTTCCCTTAAAGGAACCCCATAATTTGTGATCACAACCGGGCCTGTTTGGGTCTTACCGACCATATACTTCTTTTGTATCAGGGGTTTTGCCCCCTCCCTGGCGGCTGCATCTCCAGGAAAAATCACCACAGGCACATTGGGAGCGAATCTCTCAAACTCGTTTTTCCAATTCGGAATGGTGGATAGAGGTGTGACAATTAAAAAGGGGCCGCCAATGTTTTTCTCGAGCAGATGGCAGATGAGGGCTATTACTTGCACAGTTTTACCCAAACCCATTTCGTCCGCCAAGATCCCGTTCAAACCATTATCAAATAAAACCTGCAACGCATTTTGGTATTTTGGGAGCTTTTATGACGGTTTTTTTGTACTTACACTCATCCAGGTTACACCTTCAATCTGGTACGGTCTTAAAGACCCATTTTTGAAGTAGTTCAGTTTTTTGGTAATGTCTAGGGAATCTAAAAAAAAATATATAAAATAAATAAAAGCAATAAAAATTGGTAGGTAAACATACTTTCATCTTTTTTGGCCTTTTTGGCGCCTTTAGTTTGCGAAATAGCATTCTTCATATCATCATTGGTGGGCATATACTTATTGTTCTCCTGTAAGACATCCCTACAAATAAAAAACCTTAATATATCAACAAAAACAACGAAAACCTCACATACTTCTTTTTCACAACCATATCGACCTTCTCTTGAAAGAACGAAGTGTATTTCTCACTTAAACCCAACAAATACTTCATTCCCTTCAAAGCTTTCTCCTTTCGAATGTCCTTCTGTCTTTCTTCCTCCCTGCGTTTTTCCTCCTTTCTGGACAATCTTTGCGCCTCCCTGATTTGCGCTTCCTCCTTTCTTTCCTCCCTTCTCCTTATTCTTTCCTCCTCCTTCCTCAAAGCTTCTTGTTCTCGCTCCTCCTTGCGCTTTACTTTCTCTTCTTCCAGTCTCAGTTTTTCCTCCTCTCTGAGCAACTTTTGCTGCTGTCTTTCCTCTTCGAGCCGTATTTTTTCCAACCTGTTCTCTTCCCTTTCTTTGAGAATCCGTTCTTTAGCTTTTTGCCTCTCCTCTTCGAGACGGATTTTTTCCAACCTTTTCTCCTCTCTTTCTTTGAGAAGCAGTTCTTTGGCTTCTTGTTTCTCCTTCAGCAATCTTTCTTTTTCTTGGTTCTTTAAAGCTTTCTGTTCGGCTTTGTAGGCCGCGATCTCTTTTTTGGTCATGTTTTTGAACAATTCTTCTTCATTTTTGTCATTTATTTTATCAGACATTTTGGGTGTATTGTCACTTTCCGCGACGATTTTCTTTCTGAAACCCGAATCTTCCGAAGATGTACTTTCAGTTGATTCCGAAACGCTTACAATGGAATCACCGCTCGAATAATCGGTTACATCTTCCGGATCCATTGTTCGAAAAATCACAGTAAACCGGTTAGAAACAATCAAAAAACAAGTGACAACACAAAAAAACACCACCGCGCTATTTCTTAAACATAAAAACAACTAATTACAACGAATATCACCAACAGACTGAGTAAAATGTCTTAAATTTACGCCGACAACTAAACACACACCGGCAATGTTCGCAAACGGTTTTTAATGGCGGGAATCTGGCAGTTGCGGTGCGAGAAAACTGTACCGCGGTTGGTACGAGTGCGAGAAGGACAGAAAACGCGTGCTACAGCTAGTTGTTGCCAACCTGATGGAATTTGTGGCGCTGACATTTAAAATTCAAGAGGACTGAACATGTGGTTTAAAATGTTATATAAGAGATATTTGAGACCGGTTTTTTAGCTGAAATAAATTACGCAGTAATTAATATATTTCAAAGTTTAAAAATAGCGATCCAAAAATTAGCCATAAATTTTAATAATTGTATTAATTATTTATAGAATATTATGCAAATATTTTGCCATGAGTTTGTTTGTTAAAATTTAACAAAGGTACCAAACGTAATCCATGTAAAATATTTTAGTTCACATGACACACAGTGTTGCCATTTTTTTTATTTCAGATATGTAGGTACTACTATAGTACCTACTTCCCGTCACGCATTTCTGCATTTTTTTACTGCAAAATATATTTGCATGTTCGTAATACGTGTAATTTACAGGCAGTAAACAGTTTGGTGTGAAATAACAAGAAAGGCTTGAATGTCTACCGGATGTGGTTAGTACTGAAGCGTCAAAAAGGCTTCTTATGAAACAAAAGATTTTATAATATTTTTTTATTGTTAGAACAGGTATGTAAAAATCTGGCAACATTGTCCTAGAATAGCAACACAATGATCATGATGTTCAAATTATGTATGTTAGGTATATACCTATTTCAAAGACTTTGTTTTGGACAATTTAAAAAAACGTTCAAAAACCCAATTAAAGGAATGCGCTGTTGCCACCTCGTTTTTAGTGTATACTACTTTACAGACAAAAGCCCGGTAAACTGCTTCTTTAATTTACAGCGTTCAAGATGTAATCTCACAGCATCCCAAAAAACGACCACCTAAAGAATTCGGTTAACCGACCGAAATTCTTTCTCGTAACAAAAATTTAGGGAACCCAACGTTTAGATTCAGATAATGTAACATAAAATATGTAGATATATCTAGATATATGCAGCATAGGGAATTTTAAAATTTAAAAACCAAGGCTAAAATGTTATTTATTTTCTTTGTTTGTACAAAATTTTTAATAAAAATAAATATTTGATCGTATCACAACCAATTAAAAAAGATTGAAGTTATTTAATAATTAACATATTTTTTCTTAGGTCTAGCCGACAATACGATAAAAATATCATTTAATTGTTGCCCAAGGGAATAGACAACAACATGCTAAATTCGTTTTTGGTGGGCCAAAAATTGACCTTTTTATTTTTTATTTTAAACCAAATGAATTTTACTCCGTTCCCACAGTTAACTGTGATTTTTTGCCCAACACGCAACTTTAGATTAAGTTTTTAAGTAATATATTTTAATATTAATTAATGAGTGTATAGAAAAGTTTATAAACGAGGTGCATACTATACTTTTTCTACGACAAATACTTATTATTATTTTAAAATGATTTAATTCAAGAATTTGTATAGAGCGCCATCTATGAAACAATAAGGGAAATCTGTGTGTCACCGTCAAATGTCAAATTTGAAATTTTTATATTTTATAAACACAGATTATAACGGTTTGAATCGAAATGTATTCCTTGAAAATGGACAGTTTTTCACAGTGAAAGTAAAGAAAATGTTTTATGGGCACTTTACAGTGGAGTCCGTGCCCGAATTTAAGTTATAGTTTACTGCCGGCGAAATTAAAAGGTCAGTACAATGTTCTTATAAACTTTTCAAATATTGGCGTTGAGTGAAATGTATGCTGGGCTGCAATATGAGTTTTCTTCGCCTATAATGCACTATTTCGTCTAACCTGATCTCTGAAAAAAACAAAACCGGAAACATTTAAATTTTTACCTACGTAAGTATCACCCTGTATAATGTTAAAATGTAATGAGCTCTTCAAGGGCCCTTTCAGATTTTACTGTAGGTAAACTACGTTGCGTGATTAACAACGGGTGGTCCAAGGCAAGGGGACTTGAAAACTGGTCTTCTTTTATTTTTATTTTACACCACAAGATCTTTACAAATAAAGAAATTAGATCTTGGGAACGCGGCTATAGCTTGTCAAAGCTTTATGTAAAACTCTTGTATAGACCTTGGGTGATTAAAAAATATTTTTTTTACTTCTTATACCCATGATAAGAAGTAAAAAAAAATATTTCGAAATCAGAAGTAAAAAAAAACAATTTTTGAACCCTTTGTAAAAAGAAGATCTATAAATACCTAGATAAATATATCTATGCAAACAGCCTTAAGTGTTATATATTAGCCACTACCGTCACGTGTAATACCTTATGGCACTAGAAACTACCAATAAAAATTACACAATAATAAATCATGTTTGTGTTCGCTTATACGTAAATACTTAATAATAAGAAAAGGGTGTTATTACATTTGAAATGGCAGATTATCGGAAATCTATTTAATAAATCTTTAGATAATTATGTCTTGTCTGTACCACATCAAAAAGTATATCTATACAGGGTGTCTCAAAAGTCAAGGACAGCAGAAAAGGGGTGGATAGAGGATTTTTTAAATAAGTTAAAATAAGTATTTTATTAATATTAATAATATTTAATTTTAACATTATTATTTAATTAGAGGTATTTGAATAAATATGTAATAATCACAATCCACACAACAAACCCTGTTTTATCTTGTTTCGCGTATACCATTGAATAATGCGCATACTAAAAATCACTGCAACACTGCGCAGAATCTAACGGCGGCCATTTTTATGTTTATACAGATTAAAAATCGTTTTAAACGTTGTTTCTTACAGAGGCACTTGTAAGCCTCAAATGAGACCTTTAAGTGCTAAGAGCAACCATTTTAAACCTTATTCTGTAAGGGCTGTCATCAAACTATCAAAGTTAAATTTGTGGGTTATGGTAAATTAACCTTAACATTGAAATTTGACAGTTTAATGACAGCCCTGATGGAATAAGGTTTATTTTTACCAAAAGAGGAGTAAAACAGTTGTTCTTAGCACTTTTTGGCTTACAAGCGCCTCTGTAAGAAACACAACGTTTAAAACGATGATTAATCTGTATTAGGGCCTAAAAAAGAATGTTTTGAGTTAAAACTAACCTAAAAACTAAAACACTGACAACTGTCAACCATATAATTAAGGTCATTTTACACTACGATTTTATATAGAATTTCAATGTTAAGCTGCACATTATAGTTCTCCCACCTCTAATCATTCTGTTAAAACAAGCCTGTGATTGGCTACTTTATTTAATTAATAACTGATCGAAAAACGGCAAAGACTATTCGACTTAAAAAAAATGAAAAACTTTTATTTATAACATAAGTAAAATAAAGTATGGGTAGGTATAGGCATAGGTGGGCTTGTTCGGGTTGAACGTACTCTGAACCATGACCACGATATGGTTTATGAGCCGTCGTTTTCATCGTGTGGCTGTCTCCTTTTTCTCGGGTTCAAATTAACACACACCGGCCCCTCGGGTTCTACTTTAACCAATTATCTCTTCCGATGCTCTTTTTTTCACTTTGCGCTCGCTGCAGAGACCGTCGGCGGGCCGCCGACCACTACACCGCGGCGAGAACCACACACGTGAATCAGGTTCTGTGTGTGTGCTTTCGGTTTTCAAAAAGGTTCACTTTTAACCAGTGGCGCATGTTTTATCGAAAAAATATATAATTAAGAAATCAAATATTGTTTTTGTAGAAATGTTGAGTAATTGAAATGGCCGCGCCAAGCGGAAAATATAGCAAAGGTGTTGGTTAACGGTACCTATATCAAGGAAGGCGTCTGAGACTATCTATATAAGTAAACATAGAGCGGTTTTAGATAAAAAAAAAGCTTAGTGCTTAGGTAGTGAGATAAGTACTAGCAAGCACGGAATAATTTTAAATAGTCTTTCAGATGTTTTTGTCTTTTTGTTTTGTTTGTCTAAAGTATATTCAGAGCTGCAAGCTCTCAGAAAACTTAAATCGTTTTTTTGATTTAAATCGTTTTAATGACTTAAGTCATTTGGTAATAAGTCATTTCTCTAAAACTGACTTAAGACTTAAAATTTAAGTAATTTTCAAAATGATTTGTGACTTAAATATTTTTTTCAAAATATAAAAAACTTAAGTCATTAATAAAAGGCTTAAATCAGTACATACTATTTAAGTCATATAGAAACGATTTAAGTCAAAAAAAGATTTAAGTCTTTATAAAAGTCGGTAAATTATTTAAGTAATTTAAAAAGATTTAAGTCTTTTTAGAAAATATTTAAGTCAGATTTTTCATATATTTTTTTATAAATTTTTAACAGCGGCATTTTCTTTTGAACTGCCAGGGGTTCACGCGGCAGCAGCTCAAAAACTCCTTTAATTTCCTACCTACAATTGCTACCGCTAGTGAATAAAAAAAACCGCCGCGGTATAGTTAGCTTTTTGAAAATGCGGATTTATAATTTTGTTATTTTGTTTGCCAACATCGTCGTGTTATGCGTGCGTTAGGTCTAATTTGTTACTTTTATCTATTTTAACAGAGTTTGAATCTATTACCGTTTAGAAGTTACCCATTTATGTATATAAAAAAGTAGCCTCCCTGTATGTACTCTACTAAAAAAGGTGGTTTAAGTTTTTATTTTGATTGTCTACTCAAAAAATGTGTTTTAAGTTTTTATTTTGTTTGTAAGTGTTCTGAAAATAAATCGTTTTAAATTCTTAACTATAGTGGTTTATTATCATCTGTATCTACAATAGATTAATAATATCAGTATAATTAATACCATAAAATTATTATTAACATTTAAAAAATCGTTGTATTGACTTAAGGGTAATTATTTTGATTTAAATCACAATTTTTGATTCAAGTCATTTTATTGACTTAAAAATATAGACTTAAGTCATAAAAACGACTTACTAAAGGAATTAAGTCAAAAGATGACTTAAATCACTTTATATTGATTTAAGAATTTGCGAAAATGACTTGACTTGAAAGAAAATGATTTAATTCAAAGACTTAATACTTAAATCATTTGAACTTTATCTTAGAATTGACTTAAGACTTAAATCATTTTGATTTTAGAATTTACTTAAGACTTAAGATTTAAGTCTTTTTATAACTGACTTGTTGCAGCTCTGAGTATATTTCATGACTTCCTTCTCGTTTCTAAGACGTAAGAGCGCTTAGAAACTGACCTGGCCCATTTGATTAATGCCTAATAAAATGTCTTTCTTATGTCAGTACTTAATATTTTTAGAGTGTTTTTTTTAATTTATTGTTATGTTTATTATTTTTATAATTTAAGACTATTTTTTCATATGAAAAAACAAAAAATAATTCTAAAATAATTATTTAACTAATGAGGTAAATTAAATACATGTATAGAGCGACAGCTATAAAACAATACAATACCGTAATGTAAATTTAAATTTTTTATGTGTAAATCGAAACGTATCCCTTGAAAATGGACCAACTACAAAAAAAATATATTTTTTGCAAAAACCAAAAAATAAAAAAAAATCCAAAAATTAAAAAAAAATTGTGTGCAAAAATTCCAAAAAAGTTGAATTTTTGGTTCCAGGTAATTTGAAATAAAAAAAGCCAAAAGGTGAAAAACGGTACTTTCTGTTTTGTGAAAAAATAACATATTTTTATGTACCTAATCATATTGTATTATTATTTAATTTAAGTTTAAATCTGATATCCATCTTCATGTTTTACTAGATATTTTATTCTATGAATATCAGCAAAGCATTTGACTGAATAAAAATAAGTTTAATAATTATAACTAATAACAATTGTATGTGATGTTGTATGTAAGTTACAACTTTTAACATTAAGAATACTCTTTCAAAGAGTTGATTAATAAGAAATTTCTATTTATACCAAGTACCTATTACCATAGGTAATTAGCTTGAACTGCTTTTAAGTTTCTACAAAACGTTTAAAGTAGTTTTTAATGTTATAAAAATGTGAAAATCGATGACCCTTTACATAGATTTCTTGTTATTGCCAATCAATTTTGCAATTTATTAATATAAAATCCAACTAATTAGTTTTAAACAGTTTTAATTACTTTAAAACGGTAAGTTCAAATATAATTAATACAGTTTTAAGAAAATGTAAAAAATTTTATTAAAAAGTAGTTAACATGTTTTTTTTATAACTTAAAACAAAAGAAAAAATCATTTTTTCATAAATGCATGTATTCTTATAGGTGTTTCATTGGACCACACAAAATGTTGTTCTTTAGGGACTTGAATCTCATGTAATATCATAAAATTTCTTTCAAGTACTAAAAAAAATACATTTTTAAAATAAAATATTCTGTATACAGGCTATTTTTGAGACCTGTATATTTTAATACCTACTTACATTGCATTAAAAATGAATTAAGAGTTTCCTTATTTCTTTCAGTGCAACAAAAAATAAACTCCTTTACTCTGCAATATTCAGCCAATGTGTTAAGGGCATGGAATAAAGGTTCAAATAAGTCACTGTCATAAACAATATCAGTTGCTATGACTTTGTCGATATTTCCAATTTTTTTGCAAGTTTTTTCATCAAATTTCTCCCATGAAATATTTAATACTCCCACTGGCACAACAATGGAATTTAAATTTACAAAATCTCCCTGCATTAAAAATACTTCATTGTCTTCAATTTTGTTTCGGTAATCTTGTTTTTTTTCTGGTTCAAGAGGGTTTAAATTTAATGTTACATTATCACAAAGGGTTGATAAAACTGATGGATGACAATCAGAAAAATAAAATTTTTTTGGACCACAATGGTTAACTATGGTTAAGCCGGTTAAACCAATTCCTGAACCGAGTTCTAAAACCGACTGATCAGCAAAATCGTTACAATTTTGAAGTGACCATTCGGAAAATGCTACAGCTGCCTAAAATTGTATTATTTAAAAAATTAATAATTAAAGAATTTATATAATGCCAATTTACCTGCCATGTTCTTAAACCTGTTGTGCCATCCGAAATTAAATTAACATTTTCCATTAAACTAACAATATCGCCAAAATCATTCAAATAATGTTTAAAATATAAATTTTCCGACGGTAGCGCCACCAAGCGGCCGTAGGCTTCGTACACCGAGTCGTCTATTACAGAGTTCTGTTTTTCAAAAATGTTCATAACCTCTTTGACAAAGGCTTTTTGGTAGTTTATTGCAATCGGACGCTTCAGAACCAGCTCATCATCAACTGTATCTTTTATTAGTTGCTCTTGATTTTTTGCGCTTACATCTTTCAGTAAATCCTGAAATTTGTCAGGAGAGAAATAGGTTTTGTAGGTTATGTTTACACTTTTACTCACTTACGATTAAATTTATTTGGTTTAAGGGCACTGCACACAAAAATTGTTTGCGGATTTTTTTAAAGTCACTCATTACTACTTTTATATTTTTCTAAATTTTTCCCAAATAATCATTAAATTGTTAAGTATATAAACATGTTAAAGCACTTTCATTACTCAATAACAGATGGCGCTTTATATTTGTTTAATGTGACCATAGAAATAATACTATTATATTGTCTTCTAAGATTTTATTAGTATTTTTTCTATGTATGTGACACACGTTTTGTTCCATGCACGTTTTTGAAATCAAAATATACATTAGCATTAAATTTAGAATATACACAATTTTACTCTACCCACAAAAACCTCAGTTTATACTGTGCAAAAACTTCTATCGTTGTGAACTCTACAACTTATACGTCTATGGTTGGATCAACCTAACCTCAAATTCTTCACGTGTGTTGTGCTGTCAAACATGCTCTTTTAAAATGCGTTTTTCGCTAAAATAGTAGTGAAATAAGTTTTTATATTTGTGAAAGTTTTAAGAGTAACTCGTCAATATGGGTAAAAAGTCGAAAATTGGACGGCAGCGTAAAGATAAATATTACCAGCTTGCAAAAGAAACAGGTACGTTTTTTGGTTATATGTAAATAGATTTGTTTTTTGCTATATTTTTATGCAGGTTTTAGGTCTCGTGCTGCCTTCAAGTTAATCCAGCTGAATCGTAAATTCGAATTTCTGCAAAAATCGAGGGTATGTCTGGATTTGTGTGCCGCCCCTGGCGGGTGGATGCAGGTCGCAAAACAAAACATGCCCGTCTCCAGTGTCGTACTGGGTATAGATTTATTCCCAATTAAACCGATCCCAGGGTGTATAAGCATAACCGAGGATATAACCACAGAAAAATGCAGAACGTCCATTACAAAGGAGTTGCAGACGTGGAAAGCGGATGTTGTGCTTCACGACGGGGCTCCAAATGTTGGAAAAAATTGGTTGCACGACGCCTATCAACAAGCCTGTTTGACATTGAGTTCCCTTAAGTTGGCGACCCAGTTTCTTCGCAAAGGCGGTTGGTTTGTCACCAAAGTGTTCAGATCGAAGGATTACCACGCTTTGATATGGGTTTTGAAGCAGTTATTCAAGAAAGTTCACGCCACCAAGCCGCAGGCGTCTCGTAACGAGTCCGCCGAGATTTTCGTTGTTTGTCAATTTTACATTGCGCCTGATAAAATTGACCCTAAATTTATGGATCCGAAATATGTCTTCCAAGAATTGGAAGTCGAGTCCAAGAACAAGTTGAACGTTTTTCATCCGGAAAAAAAGAAGAAGGACAAAGCTGAAGGTTATGCCGATGAAGATTACACTCTTTATCATAAGTTGAAAGTATCTGAGTTTGTCAAGCATGAGAATGGAATTGATGTGCTACAAAACGCCAATGAGGTAAATTTTGTCCAAAAATATTATTACTAAAAAATATAATAAACCATAAAATTATGGTTTAAACTGTCATATTTTTGTGTTTCTTAAGTTGGCAGCACAAAATGTAAAATGACAATAATTATTTTAAAAAGTGGTTTTTTAAAATATCCATAAAAATTATACTTTTAAATATAATGAACCATAAAATTATGGTTTAAATTGTCATATTTTTGTGTTTCTTCAGTTGTCAGTACAAAATGACAATTTTAAAAAGTGGTAAAAAAATTGTTTTTTAAGATTGCCACAAAGATTATAATCTAATAATTAATATTTAAGCCATGAAATATAATAAACCATAATATTATGGTTTAAACTGTCATATTTTTGTGTTTCTTAAGTTGGCAGCATAAAATGTTAAATGAAGAGTGGTAAAAAAATTGTTTTTTGAGATTTCCATAAAAATTACACTGTAATAATGAATTTTTAAGTCATCAAATATAATAAACCATAAAATTATGGTTTAAACTGTCATATTTTTGTGTTTCTTAAGTTGGCAGCACAAAATGTAAAATGACAATGACAAAAAAGTGATTAAACATTGTTTTTTAATATTTACATAAAAATTATAATCTTATAATCAATTTTTAAGCCATCAAATATAATAAACCATAAAATTATGGTTTAAACTGTCATATTTTTGTGTTGGTAGCACAAAATGTAAAATGACAATTTTAAAAAGTGGTAAAAAAATTGTTTTTTGAGATTTCCATAAAAATTACACTGTAATAATCAATTTTTAAGCCATCAAATATAATAAACCATAAAATTATGGTTTAAACTATCATATTTTTGTGTTTCTTAAGTTGGCAGCACAAAATGTAAAATGACAATTTTAAAAAGTGGTAAAAAATTGTTTTTTGAGATTTCCAATTTTATTCTAATAATCAATTTTTAAGCCATCAAATATAAAAAAACCATAAAATTATGGTTTAAACTGTCATATTTTTTTGTCGGCAGCACGAAATGTAAAATGACAATTTTAAAAAGTGGTAAAAAAATTGTTTTTTGAGATTTCCATAAAAATTAAACTATTAATCAATTTTTAAGCCATCAAATATAATAAACCATAATATTATGGTTTAAACTGTCAAATTTTTGCGTTTCTTCAGTTGGCAGCACAAAATGTAATATGACAATTTTAAAAAGTGGTAAAAAAATGTTTTTTAAGATTGCCATAAAGATTATAATCTAATAATCAATTTTTAAGCCATCAAATATAATAAACCATAAAATTATGGTTTAAACTGTCATATTTTTGTGTTTCTTAAGTTGGCAGCATAAAATGTAAAATGAAAAGGGTTAAAAAACTGTTTTTGAGATTTACATAAAAATTACACTGTAATAATGAATTTTTAAGCCGTCAAATATTAAAAACCATAAAATTATGGTTTAAACTGTCAAACTTCAAATGTAAAATGACTATTTTAAAAAGTGGCAAATAATTATTTTTTCACGTTACACAGTTCGGCTCCAGCGTTCGAGAAGACGAGTCGCGTCACGCGACTCGAGTGCGGGATAGCTCTTGAAACGTAAAAGTTTAAAGATGAAACCAACAATTAAAAAAAAAGGGGTGCGAACTGATAAGTGAAACAAACATTTTCATGGAGTGCAAGCTAAATGGTGTAACGGTCATTGAGGAGTGGAGTGTTGGGCGATATGAATGACTTGGGTGCCACCTGTCATGGGAGGCTTTTCACTGGACGGACGGGGGAGGTCGGAGAAGAGGGGAGGTGGCCATCCGCAAGGGGAAAAATCTGATAAGTTTTACTTTAAGAGTATGCATGACCTGATACAAATCTGCAATATAAATACGGCAGATCCCGGCAAGCATTTTCCGTTATTTGTCTCCATTAACATTGCCCGTATTCATTTCATTAAACATAACATTTATTTTACTTGAAAATGTTAAAATAACTTTAAAATATGATTATGTTAAGAACTTTAAACAATTGTTTCGTTTTTAATTACTATCATTGCAAAATTGTATTAAAAAGTGTTAAAAATTCTTACACGGGCAATGTTAGGTGATAGGTATCGTTAAAGTGTTTATTGGGATATCTCTAAAACCTATAAAGGGCACGCGGCGTGGGGCAATAAGTCTGTCAACAGCAAATGCGTAAGGCGGTCCCAATCGAGATCGAAAATAAACACTGGACTGACAGAGTAAACTAACATTGATCTTAATTCTAACACATAAAAAAAAGGGCCTAATAGCCAAACTCGAGATTTGTAAACATTAGACAACAGAATAATCGCGCTTGTGATTTGTTTGACTAGTGAATAAATGCAACGCTTGGAATTTGATAAACAAAGACGGAACTCTACCACAAAACGTGCTTGGGACAAAAATTATTAAAAACAACTGAAACACTTTACCAAGGGCAGGAACTATCTGACCAGGACACGGACAATGACAATAACGAACAAGACAAAGACCTTGACTAGGAAACTACACCCCTGCAGCGAAATAACAACTCCCCAACTCCAAATAGTAATCCCAAATGTTTGGAGTAATACTAATCGACTGGTCTAGGGGGATTCCGCGTCGTACTTAGTTTTAAGTCGGCGTAATTGTCCCCCAAAAACCAACTCCCTCCCGTCCCCCATCCATACCCCACCGAGCGTATAGCATAGGCTCGGCGAACCCGGGAATGGCTATTATAACTATTCGCCTCTCGCTCTCGAGCCCCAAATAGGGGACAGTACTGAACGCAATGGACATTCGCACCCAGCAAACACGGGTGAAGCCGTGCAGTTGATGGGGAAGAACAAAAATCGGCGTAAGTAAACATAGGCCTGTACGGGGTTCGAGAGTCAAGAGGAAATGGGGCTGGTTATACGTCTCTTATACTCATACTCATACTCACAATAATTATTTTTTCACGTTAAACGTTGATAAGCTTAAAAATTGTGTATTTGGTTTATATTTTATGGAAATATCATGAGCAAGCTCTTGAGATAAATAATAAAAAATGGCGTATGGAAACAAATGTAGGTAACTTTAATTTTTTTTTTTAATCTGTGCTGTAAAAAAATCTGAAAATATTTGTGAATGTTTCTGATGCCTTACAAAATCATATAATAAATGTTGAAGACAGTCCATGTTTCAAGAAAATTATTTTTGTAGATTACTTTCGACGACCCAGCAATCTTGAACCACGAAAAAACCACCGAAGAAATCAAGGAATGCTGCAAGGACATCAAGGTGCTGGGCAGAAAAGACCTGAAGAGCATACTGGCCTGGTGGAAAATCCTGCACGAAGAGCACGTCAAGGAACACGCCGAAGGCAAGCAAGAAGAAGAAGAAGAGGCCGAGAAACCGGCAGAAGAGGAGAAAGTTGAGAGCGACGAAGACGGCATGAACGAAGTGGACAAGACCATCAAGGAGATGCAGGAGGAAGAGAACAGGGAAGTGAAGCGCAAAAAGAAGAAAGCCCAAAAAGAACGGCAGAAACTGAACGAACGCCTCAACCTTAAAATGGTTTTAAAAGGCGACGAAGGGCCTACGTTGGTGGGCGAGGAGATGTTCGATTTGAAACAGTTGAAGGACGCCAAACAAATCGAATCCGTTCTGGATAATCTGCCGGAGTTGGTGGCGGAATCCGATGATGATGAAGCCCCAAAACACACTAAATACTTTAAGTATGAGAAGGGGCAGGGTCATTTGGACGCGTCGGGGACTTTCTACAAGGATTCCGATTCCGAGCTTGAAATGGAGTCGGATGATGATGAAGGGGATGATGTCAAGGAGGGGTTGGGTTTGAGCGAGTCTGAAGATGAAGACGACTCAAAGAAATCTAAGAAACTAGTAAAAGTAGTCAAAGAAAGAGATCATCCGCTGATAACGGACTTGGACTACAGGGACAAGGACCAGAAGAAGGCGCATAAAGCGGAGCTGTGGTTCGAGCGGGACGTTTTTAAGAATCTAATCGACGAAAAGGATGAAGACGCCGACTTGGATCGCATGGTGAAAGAGTACAAGAAAAAGGGCGCGAAAGTTATAGGCGAGGAGGACCATACGGAAACGGAAAAACCCAAAAGGAAAAGTGACAAAAAACACCCACAAATAGAAAGCGACGATAGCGATTACGACTCTGAAGACAGCGACGATGTCGGCTCAGATTACGATATAGAAAACGCTTTGCACGTTCCCCTAAACAACCCCAAGAAAGACGGCTTTGAAGTGGTGAAAAATACTGCCCCAGTTTTGGGAGGAAAGGGCAAAAAAAGACACAAGTTAAACGAAGAGGAATTAGCCTTGGGAACAATGATGGTAAACAGCAAAAAAGCCAAAAGAGATCTCCTCGATGCTGCCTGGAACCGATACGCTTTCAACGACGACCACCTACCCGACTGGTTCGTACAAGACGAGGACAAACACATGAAACTGGAAGCTCCAGTACCAAAAGTAAGACACCTCTCGAAAAAAACAAACTCTGGATACTTTTCTTTTTAGGAATTGGTGGATGACTACAAAAAACAACTGGAAGAAATCAACGTGCGACCAATCAAGAAAGTTATCGAAGCCAAAGCGAGAAAGAAGAAGAGGGCTATAAGAAAACTGGAAAAAGCCAAAAAAAAGGTCGAAGCTTTAATGGAAAATGTCGATGTTGCCGATAGAGAAAAGGCCAAACAAATTAAATCGTAAGTACCAAAATTTCAACACAATAAATGATTTCACACATTTTTTTGTTACAGCTTGTACAGGAAAGCAAAACACGAACCCAAACCGGAAATAACTTACGTGGTGACGAAAAAACACATGGCCGCCAAAAAGATCAGCAGACCCAGCGGGGTTAAGGGTCAATACAAGGTTGTCGATAAGCGGATGAAGAAGGATTTGCGCGCGCAGAAGAATAAATTGAAGACCATGGGTAGGGGCAAAAAGGGCGGCAAAGGTAAAGGGGCTAAAGGGGGCGGCGGTAAGGGCAGGCCACAGCAGCAAAGAGCTAAACCCAAAGCTAAGTAGTTTAATGGTTTTATGTAAATAATATGACTACACAATAAATAAATCGATTTTTTATTTTTTGTTTATTTTATTCCTTTACACAAATTCACAAAAATTTCCTCTCTTAACCAGAAGACAAAATTTTATGCCGATTCCGAAAAACAGTGGTTGAAACTTTACAAATCTCATTCTTACTACTTCAGAAGTAATAAAAAAGTAGCAATTACAACTAAAAAGTATGAATAAATGGTGGTAAATATAGAAACCACTAATCATGTTTTCAAATAAATATTTCCTCAGGATCTAGTATATTAAAGAACTAATCAGTGTTACCAGATTCTGTCAAAAAAAGACCGTACGTTTCGTTCGAATTTACCTTAATTACAAAAATGACTCAATGGACAATATTAAATAACGTCAACTTGACATAATTGCATTTATTTGCATTGTTTTATTGTGTCATTTTGTTATTAAGGTAAATTCGAACGAAACGTACGGTCCTTTTTTGACAGAATCTGGTAACACTGGAACTAATTGACTTATGACATTAGTTCTTTATGTCATTTTATCTCTTTTGCAAAAATTCTATAAAAAAATTAATTTTATAACTTAAATCTAATTTGGTCGAATTTTACTTTAGATAGTTGGTATCACAGTCATTGGTTTGACAGTTAATGTCAAAATCGATTCGCCATGCCGTCCTCAATTTACTTATTTACAATAAGCGGCTGTTAATGCTAAAGAAGAAAAAAGGCTTTTCTTTGGTGTTAAACAAAATTTATTGCCAGAAAAGTCTCGTGAGTACCAAAAAAATCATAAAAATATTATAACCAATATGCAAAATATTATGCTGTTTAAAGTAGCCAACCTATAAAATCAAAATTTTGGGTGGGATAAAGTAATTATAAACTGCCCTTCATTTAATTTCTTTGAAACCGGGTAATTGAAAACTGCACATTATTATTAATGTTTCGGGTTATTGAAAACTGTCCATAATCGAAAAAAATGGATAATTAAAAACTGCCCTTACTCAAATAAAAAAATAGTTAAAAAATTCACACAGCAGCATAAATTTAAATATTAAACAATTAAAATCTTTGGCCTTCCAATTCTAATTTATTAATACTTAAAATTACCAAATATTTAAATACAACACATTTACATATACTTACCTTATGTATTCAGCGGATACATAATATGTATGTATTTAAACAATTTAAATGGCTCTTTAATTTAATTACTACTAAAGCTTAAACAAAACGATATTTAGTTATTATAAATATATGTACAAAAGTGTGTTTAATGTATACATGTTCTGAATATCACATTTATACTTATGGCCATCACCTTGAGGTTCATTTCCCGCTATAAAAAATAATAAAGTAATTTCGCAAACTGGCTGTCAATGCCAAGGCAATAATAGACCATTATCATATTAATTATTATTAAACGATTTTATTTAACTTTAATGCTCCCTGACAATCAATTCTTTTAATCGAATTTTCACCGTCTTCCGATTATCCAATCAAGCTGAAATTTGTTACGCATTCTCCAAACACAACATACACATTAGAATACTCACTAAAGGAATACATATCAATATTTAACAGAAATGCTGTGACAGAATCTAGTTTTGAATTTTAACTGTCAATCAATGTCTATGGTGTGATGTCAGCAGATAACATCAACTAACCAATTAATTGTTGTAATAATCAATAAAAACGTTTTTATGGAAAATATCCAATTAAATTTGTTTTACATTTTATTTGCGTTTTTAATTATGGACTAACATCGCGTCGAGTTGGCGTGTTGTTGTCCAGAGAGAAGAGTTCAAGGCCAGTAGAGGGAGAACGAATTTCACAGCGTAATTTTCACGGTCAAAATAATCCAGATAATCGGTTACAACAATAAAATATCCGTGTGACGTGTCGTAGTAATAGCAAGCTGTAAATTTTGCGTACAGTGCCCATTAAACATTCTCTTCTCTTTGACTGTGAAAAACTGCTTCTATATCGAGTGTTAGTCTATTTTTAAGGGATAAATATTGATTTACACAGAAAAATTGTCTACAAATTGAAATTAAATAAAAAACTACCGACGCCTGTTAATAAAAAGTAATAAAATCAAGGTTAAAACCTTGAACGATAACAGAGTTTTATAATTAAGGTTTTTTTGTTATAATATTGATTTTGATTCAAAATGTCTACGTCATTAACTTAACATAACATAAATATGTTGTGCAGGGGTCTAATCTTTATATCTAATATGCATGTATATACCTTTATAACTTCGCAAAAACGTTAATTAAAGTATTTAAAAATAGAACATATTTTAAAGAAAATAATAAGCATTAATCCCGGCGCCTTCGCCATTTTTTGAACTGTTAGTACCTAAAAACAATTATATTTAAGTAGGTATGCGTTGAATGTTTGTTTTAAATGTTGTTTGTTGTAAAAATTCAAATATTCGTATTATTCCCAGGCGCGTAGGCAGAAAAATATAAGCTTGTTTTAATTGCGATATTTTTATAATCTTGCATTATACAATTGTATACTGGTTTATTGAAATTCAATTTATATGCATTGTTTGAGATTAAACCTTGACAATGGCAATGAATTTAACTGTTCGTTAAATATTTAGCTTCCTGATTAATTTGACTTAAATTAACTTAAATTAATTAATTAATTTTAAATACAGAAAATAAATACAATAAATCAACTGCAAATCCCAAAATAAAACAATTAAACTAAATCAGTAAACAACATACTTTCACAAGGTTTTTTATTTCTAGTTTAATTAATCTTATATAAAATGTAATGTCCATCCTATCAACACCTACGTCATTCCAGAACTAAATCTATTGTAATAATGTTTGCAAAGGTAAGGTATTTACAGCTAGATATATATGTTTAAAATATGTGTTTATGGGTAAAAATATTCTATTATAAGTAAAAACGTTATCAGAGAAAACGCTTTTTATTCGAAAATCATAAAAATGCCTCGACTCCACTAAATTTACCAAAAAGGACCGCGCTGTCCACTTACAAATGTCGCGACCACGAGTATCAATTGGGTTAAATAAAAAGAACATACGAATTAATAATTTTTAATATTATAGGTTAAGTGAATTATATATGCTTTTGTTTTGGCACCTCGTGCTCTAGTTTTACAATTACCGCCTCAGTAGAAATTAGACTTGCGTCATCGGTTTGTATTTCAAAGTCTATTTGACCTTGAAATACTATAAATACCAAATCAGAGAAACAAAAATAATCACAGTGGTTGAATGTAAAATTTCTTTAAAGCAAACTTATTTTTCGCGACAAATACTTTGGTATGCCAAAAATATTAATAAAAACTAGAATATTTTAATATTAGTCACAATATGTTTTTTTGCATAAAAATTAACTTGGCTGGTTTTAATATTATTATAAATGAATTTAGTCAAAGTCAAGATCGAATAGAACAATCCCAAGTAATTATGGTAAAAGTCTGTGATAGAACCTATAGATGCTTACCAAATTAATTAAATGCAAGGGGACTGTTTTAATTTTTGTAGATAAATAATGATTTATAGTTGAAGTCTTTGTTTTTTAAAATTATTTCTTTATGCTGTGGTTAATTTTTCCAAAAGTAATATTAAAAGTTAAACTAAACCAAAATGTGTTTAAAAAATAACTGGTCTTAACCATTTTCAAAGGATAAAATTAGAAGTTTGTATAAAGTTTTTAAATTTCTAAAATAACATACTTTTTAACTTTAACTACTAAACTAGTTAAATATTTGATTTATTTTTTTTATTTTAGATGACTTCAAAACTAAAATTTTTATTTTCTACAGATGATTTGCAACTTTAAGAGAGCAATGAATTGCCCTTGGAAGCATAAATTTGTTGATTGAGTTTATGAGAAGCATGAGTATTTTTCACATTACTAATGGTAATTAACATCAAGGCTCTTTTCATTACAATACAGCTACATTTGTTTATTTAAAAAGTTAAATTAATAAAGCAATTTTCCAAGTATGTATAACAGGTTGTTAATATTTGGACTATGAAAGTTCAAAAATACAATTGATGATATGATATGTTAAATAAAAATATGAAAAAGGGTATTAGTTAAGTTAGTATAAATACTCATATTTCTAAATTTAATAAATTCTGAAATATGACACATGCCAATAGGCCGACCTTGACCTTGCAGCCTGGAACAGCTGCATCGATTTGCACTGAGAGGTGACCTTTTCGTCCCAGTTACACTGGCGTAACGTACGTCCACAAAATTTTACACAACGAAAAAAAAAACGATTTTCTAAAAATAGTCGCACACAAGCAGTAATAATAGTTTTAAACATCGATTTTTGAGCAAGACCTTGGGCCAGTCTAACGAAAATGTTATTTTTTTTTACTAAAAGTAATCTAGTGGATTAACTTGTAAACGGTTGATTTTAGAAAAATTATGAACAAAATGAAACTTTAAAAATTATTTTTTTACTGTGCTGTCCAAATTTTGTTTCACCTTCGTTTGTTTGAAAAAAAATGTCGTATGGAATATATTGCCAGCTCATTTTAGTGATATTCATTTTTACAACTATATATATATTGATACATTTGTGTACGTGCAAGACAGACCGTGCTGTTTTGATTGACCTTAGGCGGGTTTCTTTTTATAGACCCTGAAATAGTCAAGGCCACGTGATAAAATCAACCCTACATGAAGCACGCCACTATTGCGGTTAAAAATAGAAAAGTAACTGTTGATTGTAAAATTCTGATTTTATAATAATAATAATAATAATAATAATAATTTCATTAGAACTCAATTTGCGAAAATTACAAAGAAAATTCGTTTCGCAATATTACAATACAAATTATGGTATTGTAATTATACTACGAAAAAAAAAACCTGAAATTTCCTTAGTTTCTTCAAGAAACTTTATTGACCCATTAGTGTAAAGATTTAAAAAAAATGTTTTTGTTTAAAGTGCGTTCCACCGACAAATACCGACAGACAGCTAGGCAGATAGACCTATTTTGGGTCTTATCAATGTCGGGCAATTTGGTGTATTGAAACTCACCA